AGGAAATATTACGCTGGGAATATGGGCCTGGGGTCTGGGAAGAGAGCCAAACCAGCCTCATTTTCCCAGGCCTAGCGGTAATAAGGGTGCCACTTTTCCCTATAATATTTCTGGGTCCACAGATAAGGCTAATTAGATGAGGAATGGCTTAAAACGACTTCAGGATAAAGAACAACTAAAACGTTTTGTGCAGCAGTCTCCAAAGCTTGCTCGAGAAAAGTGTCAGGGCATTGAGTCATTGGATCATTTCTACCAATGGAAGGGTTTCCACTTGTGGAGTGCATCCTTCTTGCCTTCCCTCTCCCTCTGCAGCTGAAATGCACCCTGAAAGGCTGTTCCCATAGACAGGGGATTCAAGGAAAGGCCATGAGCACTCAAACAACCAATTCTCCAATCCTCTAAAACTGTTAAATATAAGGGAATGTGCCTAAATTGTAAGTCTATAACAAAACCCCCATCCATATTTTTTCTATCCTCTTCCTTTTATCTCAAAACAAGTCAGCATGGTATATCCCTGGATGCTAGATGTTGGGAGGATAAGCATCATTTTCCCAGAGGCCCTGCTGGGGACAGAATGATTAGGCTTATCAGGTTCCCACTTATGGTAGGAGATCTCCCGCCTCCTGCCTCTGCTGCCCACCACTGCTCAACCGGGCAGCAGAAGGAAACTGGCTGGCAAAGGGGGGGGGGCGCACAATCATTGTCCCTGACACAGTCACACCAATTCCAGTGTGAACTGGAAGTGATGTCATTGTTCAGGGAATGATGTTCTAGCACTAGCCCAGAGTTCTATGGTTTCCATAGAGTTTTTGGATGAGTGCTACAGAACTGCTTCCCCTGGCATGATGATGCCACTTCTGGATCATACCAGAAGCAGCATCATTGCATCGGGGATGACGATCATGCCCCTCCTGTAAGTTCCTGCCCCCCATCTCCCACCAGTGGCCAGACCAGGTCTGGTCACCCTAAGAGTAACAGACTGGATAAACCCTTTGTCTGATCCAGCAAGGCAATTCCCAAGTTCTAATGGGATCAGGCCATTAATCCCACTGCCAACACCTAGAGTTTCCAACACTGCCTCAGCAAGTACCAGGAGATTTAGGGGGCAGTGCCTGAGAAGGGTGGCATTTGGGGAGGATGTGATGTCACTTCCAGGTGACATTCTAGGAATCTCTATGGTAAGACCATTTTCAATTTCTCAAGGATGAGAGACTGGAGCTGGGAGCAGGGAATTCCGCACTGGGCCCGGGCAAATGGGAAGACTACCGCTACCATATACACAAAGAGCTCTATCTGAAGGACTTGATGAATTGCTGCCAATCACACATGAACACACCAGCTCCAAAAACATGTCTGTTTCATTGGCTAGATAGCTGAAATGGAATTGCCTGGCTGGGGCCAAAAAGGAAATTTAATCTTGAGCTTGTGCCTTGGGACTGCTCACCTGTCAAATGTTTGGCTGGCTGCAGGCCATGCTGGAAAAGCAGGAGTGGAGGGGGGTGGGGAATTTCTCATCTCATGAAGACAAGGAAGCCACACGGACCTAACCGTCACAACACAGCTCTTGCCACCGTATGCTAAAACAGCAGTCCTTTGAGTGACAGCCAGGAAGTGCAGAAAGGGCTGCCCATTTTCCATCCAGTTTGGCATGGGCCTTCCCTTGATCAAGAGTCACTTAGATATACCACCCAGCCAGAACTGGAAAGTGTTTTGCTAGAAAGTCAGGACAAGATGAAGTCCCACTTATAGGAAGAAACGGTTCTGGCGAGGGGGCGGGGCGGGCGGATACATAAGGAACCAGTGCCAAAGAAACACTGAGCTTCCCCCACCCACACGAACTCCTATTTATTTATACTGTATACTTTTTTCATTCCCCCCCAAAAACACCCAAGGCAACACACAAACATTTAAAATAATATGCCAGCTAAAAAGGGGGAGAAAGCAGAAGGCCAAAAAGCAGTCAATTTCAACTTTTCCATTTAGGAAAGCCTGAATGAATGAAAAGGGCATTATCTTGCATCTAAATGCTTGCAGCAAATTTGCTTCACAGGCCTTCTGTGGTGCATTTGGGAAGAAGGGAAATTAATTCCAGTTCGAGAATGAAAAAAGGTAGTTCATACTAGAAATGGAATTAATTCCCCACCTCCTCAACTCCCACCCCACATCCCAGTTCTTCTCTGCAAAGGGTGAATACTGTCTGGCTCCTCTGTGCATGCCCTGATCTGCATGGTCTAAGCCAGCCCGATCTCATCGGATCACTGAAACTAAGTAGGGTTGGCCCTGCTTAGTACTTGGATGGGAGACCACCAAGGAAGTCCAGGGTCACAATGCAGAAGCAGGCAACGGCAAAGCACGTCTGAAGTCTGCTGCCTTCAAAACCCAATGGGGTCACCATTAACTAGCTGCAACCTAACGGCACTTCCCACCACCACCACTCTCTGCATATGTGCAGAACACTGGATATGCCATACAAGCATTTCAAACCTAGAATCTGCAAAAACAGTAATATATATATACTAGGAAAAAGGCCTGTTGTGGAAATAAATACAACGGCCTCTAGAAAGAGGCTCTCGGCGGGTGCCCCGGCCTTGGACACTCAGTGTCAATTTGCTGTGGTGACCCCAGTAGGGTATAATGAGACTGAGTCCACCATTTTCTCCAGAGGAGATGATCTCTGCTACCTAAAGAACAGTTGTAATTTTGAGTGATCTCCAGCCCTCACCTGGAGATTGGCAACAATGGTTCCCCAGAAGGGAATGGTTGGTTTGGAAGGTGGAGTCTATGGATTTGTACCTGTCTGAGGTCCCACACCTCCTGAAACCTCACCCTTTCCAGGCTCCATCCCTCACATATCCAGGAATTTCCCACCCGGAGTTGGCAACCCTAACTCCTTCCCAGCCAATCATCAACCTACCTTTATTTCCCCTTCACTCTTCAGCTTTCCACCCCACACACACCTGCAGCCTCTCCCGTGCTCTGAAACCCTGACTGCTACGTCACATTGGCTGTCATACGGGGGCCACCTCAGCAGCATATAAGGATACAGAGTCCACCATTTTCTCCAGGGGAACTGATCTCTGCCATCTGGAAAGCAGTTGTAATTCTGAGTGATCTCCAGCCCTCACCTGGAGATTGGACACATTTTACCTCAGAACAGCAAACTGTTTAGAATGTTAGAGGCAAAAGCCAATCAAGTCACATATGCAAACGACCTCTGTGTTCCGAGGCAAAGGCCAATGACGCTGCATATGCAAATAACCTCTGTGTTCTGACTGGCTATGGGGGGGAGAGGAACAGCATACTGTTTAGAATATTGGAGGCGAGACTCAAGCAATGCAGCTAGTGGATAGGGACAGATTCTGAGTGACACATCAGGGCGCCAACCAATTCTGGGGCATGTGGAATGTTCTAGAGAAGTGCCACCACCATTCAGCTTTTATATATAAGGGAGACTAGGAGCAAGGCCCGTTGTAGGACCAAGACAATGAGTGCTAGAAGGACGTCAGAGCTCCATGCGGCCCTGGCCTGGCCGCACCGGCAGGACCCCGTGGAGGCAGCACAGGCTGCGACAGTGTCCCGGTGTGGGCGTGGGCATCAGCCTCCGGGCTGGCGCCACTGCAGGCCACCCTGGCAGCATGGCGGCGGCGGCCAGGTTGCAGGCTGGTGACGCACATTGGTCCTGGGCTGGGGGGGCCAGTACAGCAGGAGGAGTGGCCGCGGCGTGAGGACCCTACGCCCGATGTGGGGGTTGGTCCACACATCATCTGCAAGGGGAATGAGGGCTGGCGCGGTGCCATCACCCGCTGGCAAGACCGCAGGCTTGAGGGGTGCTGGGATGGGTCGGCACTGTCTCCGTGGCCGGGCGGGCAGGTGGCAGCAGCGTCGTGGCCACATCAAGCGCTCTGCGGGCGAGTGGGGCACCAGGTCCCGTGTGGCCGCAGGGCGGGCGGCGAGGTGAAGTGGGCTTTGGGCGGCGACAATGGGCATGGCACCAGGAGGATTGGCCTCCGGTCCCCATCTCCTCCCCCCGCTGCAGACTCCAGGGTGGAGGGGTGACAGAAATGGCCGCCACTGCCTCCGTGTCCGGCCAGGTGGCATCATCCCGCGGGCTGCCTCCACCGGTGGCAGGGCAATCAGGCAAGTAGAGTTGTGTCGCCCAACAATGAATGGTGAGAGGGTGGCAGGATTGGCACGGGGCTCAGACGTGTACAGCCGTCGAAGCGTCCATCCAACCCAGTGGCTCCCTGCAGACTGAGGGCGAGAGGCTGCCCGGTAGGTTTGCGGGCGGGACTGAGGTGACGAAGGGAGGCAATGTGGCCAGGGGATTGGCCCCCCTTCTGAATGACAGGCCAGGGCCCCAAAGGCTGGGGAGGCATGTGGAACGTCTCACACAAAAACTCTTTTATATATAAGGAGAGATATATTGATTGCACACTTTCTCCAAGTAGCTCAGGGTGGCATGCATGGATACCCTCTCTTTAATCTGTACAACCGTGTGAGGCAGTTCAGCTGAGAGATAACTACACATCAGATATGACCCAGGGAACTTCCCAGTAGACTAAGAATTTTGAACCAAGACCTCCCAGATCCTAGACTGGCACTCTAACCACTGCATCACACTGGATTTTAACACCAAGAGGTTAAAGGAACTTACAGTGCAATTCTAAAAACACAAACACACATAATGCTTCCATATACCGAGTCAGACTATTGGCCATTCAAGGTCAGTATTGTCTACTCTAACTGGCAGCAAATCTCCAGGGTATTTGGCCGAGGTCTTTTGCATCAGCCTCTACCTGATACTTTCAACTGAAGATGCCAAAGGTTGAACTTGCAAAGCACAAGCTATGGCCCATCCTCTGTAAGCAGAAGTCAACCGACTTAGAAGGGTGTAGCTGTGCTTTGGATGGCACTATTTGTATACTTAAACTACAGAAAGCATTAGAATGGGTTGTCAGGTAGAAATTCAAGCAATGTTTTAAAAAATGAACCCATACTACCTGTCATTCCACGGGAGCCAGGCAATCCTCGTGCGCCCAAAAGTCCTTGGTCCCCCTTGAGGCCCCGTGGCCCCATAGGTCCTCTTTCCCCAGGGTACCCTAGATACAGAAGAAGGAGAAAAAAACAGTATAGGTCAAAATTTGGTTGGTTGTTTAAGAAACTGCATACGCCAAAAAGGAATAAAAGTTAACAGCCCAGCAGGCATGCCAGCTGGGTCTCCTGCTTTCTTTCTGCCTTGGGCCAAAGTCACCATGGTTCCAGGAGACAGGAGTAACCAAACCCCATTAGAGCCCCCAAAGTTCTGGACATCTGGAAATATAATACCAGTAGATGTTGCTTCCTTCCACTATCAGGTGCCTTCCAACATTATGATTGTATTAACACTCTAATAATTGCTAACATGCATCTGGCATATTGCAAAGTTTACTCTGAAGACCTTAATTGGCTAGCAGAAGCTTTGGTGCATAACATTTCTTGAAGTCTGGTTACCAAAAGGGTAGTGGTTTTTTGTTTGTTTTGTTTTTGCCACCTACCCAAAAATGTTATTTTCATAAATATGGAGAATCCAGAGGATTCCAGCATTTCAAGAATCTATGACAGAGGAGAACGTTACCCCAACTGCTTTCAGGGCTTTCGTGTTCCATAAAGTCAGATATAACTTTGAAAAATAAACAAATAAAATCTGGCATCCCCTCAGCTAAGCCTTAGAAAGAAGGTGGGGTTCCACCAACAAGAAGACCATTTCCCCAATGCCTGCAAGTGACAAATTCCACTGTTATTTCCAAGTTCTTGTTGCAAGTACATATGTTGATTCTTACATGTAAATCCCTTTTATGTAAGAACAAATAGGGGGCTATGAGACTTGTGGAGAGAATCCCATCCTCCCCCCCCCCGAGCCCAGGCACAGCTCCCTGCCACCACCACCTCTATCACCAAACCCAGGCCCCGGGACTCCACCACTGCCAGGCCAGGAGCTGGCTAGAAATCTGCCCCCAACTTTGCAGAATTTTATGCCAGTTGTGGCCCCAGGCTTCAGATTTAAGTATCCACAGATTGGCCTCCACTTAACTATTACATATAAAACGTTAGAACAGTAGAAGCTAAATCAGCCATGCAAAAATGCATATCCAGAAATTGCCAGAGCATACTTTCACACCTCATCATCATTTGGTAAACATTCAGCTTTACAAGAATCATAGCCTTTCCCCATGTGGACATGATTCTGATCACCGGACTTCATGTGCTTCGTTTCCAGTTACTGTTCTTACCGAGGGATATATGATGATGCCCCTTTTCATTTCTTTTTAAATTTTGAGTGCTACCAGCAAAAGCCTTTTCATTTCACCTATTTTACCCCTATGGTGTTCCCAATTTATTTGTTTTATGGCACACAGGAAGAAGGCCCATTGTGGAAATAGAGACAACGAGCTCTAGAAATAGGCTGTGGGTGAGTGGCCCGGGCTTGAGGAGTCTTTGTAGCATCAGTGTACCAGGCGCGCTCCAAGGCTGGCCACTCCGAGTGAAGAAGTGGCGCTTTCCAGGACGGGCCGGCCTGGGAGGAGATTGACGTTGCCTGCAGAGGAGTGTTGGTGGCATCCCGCTCGTGTTCCTCCCCCCACCGGAAGTGGCGCTATGCAAAGCGGGAGTATGGGCAGCTGAGGAGAGGGAAGCAGCAGCCAGGGCAGGGACAAGAGCTCTGTGCAGGCGTTGCTCTGTGCGGGGTGTGTGTGTGTGTGTGGCTGTGAGACCGTGCTCCAGCAGCGGGTGAGGGACAGGGGGCCTCCCGGGTTGGCTTCCTCCCCCCCCCATAAGCAGGCCGTTGAAGGCTGGAGTGAGGTTTTGCTTCAAGTGGTGCAGCATTGCTTCCGTCCCAGCAGAAACCTCGTCATCCTCTGTCATGGTGTGAGATGAAAGAGAAGGATGGGACTGAGGCAACGCAGCCACCAATGGGTAGAGGCCCCTGGTGAGTGACACATCAGGGAGTGAAAGGCTGTGGGGGCGCGTGGAACGTTCAGGCAAGAGGGACACGAAAACACAAATATATATAAGGAGAGATGCCATTTACAACCTATGCAAAAATTGCATATATGGTAAAAACCCAGATCCACAGTTATGATTTGCAGTAGTGAAAAACAAAATTGAAATGGGGTTTTTCAAGTCAAAATAATGGGGGCTGCAAAACATGGTAGCAGCCTGACTGTCCTCCAATCAGAAAAATTATTCCTGCCTCTGCATGAAAGGTGCAGCTGAAACATGGCATTATCTAGTTTCAGACTGCTGTTTCCCCCTCTATTTCCTAGAATACAACCTGAGCTGCTGTTTGCCAAGATCTTGCAATATGCCAAGCACATGTTTCCAATGAGGTTTCTGCAATGGCTCAGAGGCCTCTTTTCCTGAGTGGTAACAGTTCATTTAAAACCCAAGCTGGGATCTGGATCATTTAGTGATCTTTCCAACATGACGTTAACATAACATTACATGACAGTGCGCCCAGAAGAACTATCCATGTCAACTTTTCTGAAGTGGGGGAGGGATGACAGTTTCTTGGAGAATCTCACAGCCCATGGATATGAAGGAGAATGAGATGTTCAGCTTGCTGTTAGTTGTGGATTCTTCTTTGGGGTAGATTAGTCTTGACAGCAGGGAGATCTGTTAAGAGATGGGATGATCTCCGCAGAAATTAGGTGAATGTTTTTCATCCCTCAGGAGACAGTTAAGAGGAAGAGAATGAATTCCGGCAGGATTTGAATCTAATTTGGAATTCCATCTGTTTTAACCACTCTGACTTCTCTTGCACAAACTTTGCCTTGTTTTGACAGAGCACATGGTTTTGGTGTTGTAGATGGCAGACTCATTCAGCACAGGAGCAAAGGATCTCCTCACAACACAACCCTCGTGGAAATGAGAATGGGAAAGACTGTGGTGGCTGCCCACTGCCCAGAGGAGTGGCTACTGGCTCCAGGGCATGGTGGGAAGGCGCGTGGTATCTTGTCTGAACCTAAGGAGGTCTGACCTGCACAGGAGACCTCTTGGAAGGCATCTTGAATTTGCTGATGGAAGAAAAGTCGAATATAAAAAGCAAAGACTGGCCACAGTGTCCACCCGATTCAAACAGAACTAAAGGACAAACAGCATGAAGAGAAGAAAAAGCCCCTAAAGAGCACACACAAAGCTGCCTTATAGTGACTCAGACTCTTGGTCTATTAAGGTCAGTCTTGTCTACTCTGAATGGCAGTAGCTCTCCAAGGACTCAGGCTGAGGGCTTCCACATCACCTACTGGAGACACTAGGAACTATACCTGTGACCACCTTGTTGTGTTCTTAATACTAGGTATGAAAATATGTGATCAGTTCTTTGGGGAACCTGGAGGATCCTCCTAAACTCCCATTGTAACAAGGGCCAAGGGTGGGACAGAATTCTGTGTGGTGTTCTTGAGTGTTCTTTAAGTGCCTAAGTCTGCAGAGGCTGATGACTGACCTGCTACAAAATGGATTCCTTGCCAGGAGGAGCAGATTTGGCCTTTGCAGAAGGTTCTGAACTGTTCTTCTGTTATATGCAAATATTTAAACAGTTTCTGTTGGCCAGAGATGTGGTTGCAGAGTCTAAACAGAGAGCTCCTTTCCTGCCTTCATTGGGGAAATGCTGTTTGGAATTTGCTGACTAACTTAATGGTCTCAGCCTTGCCTGCAGAGACCCCACTTAGAGACATTACTTCAGACTTTACAGCAGCATTTTGAGCCTAAGAAAAGTAAATTGATGTGCAGGTTCCCATTATAACGTAATCGCTATGCAAGCTGGATTTTCCTGTGAGCACAAGACAGTCCACTTGGGGTGGGTATGTAGGTTGTGGGTACAACCTACATGCATGGACATCTTTATTTTGGGTAAATACAGTACATAATCAGAGGACTGGCTGCATAGAGAAGGTACAGGCCTTCAGCATAACAAACAGAGTGAGCTATCCTGTTACACTCTAAGGCAACTGGTTGCCCATAGCTAGTCAAAATCAAATCCAGGAGTTCCCTAATCCCCATTCTGCTGGGACACAAATTTTTAGCCAATTGCAGATTGTTGACGATGGCCCTCAGTCCTTCAGCCAAGAATGTTTAACATTTGTATAGCATAAGCTTCCACTTAGATAGAAAATCATGTTTTCCTTTAGTGCTTTAATTAAATTTCCCTTTGCAAACACTGGTTTCAATGAAGGAGGAAAACATTTCCCAAAGCCTTTAGAAGTTCTTGCACAGCCCAGATAATAAAGCTGAAATCCCAGCATAGTTTGGGGCACACTGCCAGCTCCAACCTTTTTACAGAGAAGCCCATGAAGAGCCACTCTCACTTTCCGCTTGCTGCCGCTGCAGTGGATGTGCAGGCACACACCTAACACTAACCCTTTGCTTCCTCTGCCTCGGGGCCATCTGTTTTGTGGTCAGTGCTTCAGTACCAGCATGAACTTTAAAGACCTTCACATGAACACACACGAACGCATGAAGCTGCCTTATACTGAATCAGATCCTTGGTCCATCAAAGTCAGTATTGCCTACTCAGGCAGGCAGCCGCTGTCCAGTGTCCCAGGTAGAGGTCTTGCACATCACCTACTGCCTGGTCCATAACTGGAGATGCCTGGGATTGAACCTGGGACCTTCTGCATACAAAGTAGATGCTGTACCACTGAGCCACATCTCCCCCCCCCCTTCCATGCGTGGCTCTTTAACAACAAGAGCATGCAAGCAGAAAGCCCTAGCAAACAAAACTCCATCTTGTTTTTGTTTAAGCAAAGCCATGAAGGGGAACTGGCAGGTGATCTGATGGAAGTCATGGGGTGTGGAGAGAGAACTGAAAGGCCAGAAGCTGAACGTGCCTTGAAGGTTCGTATTCTTGAAGAAAGTCATACAAATTACACACCGAGCACTGATGACTGCTTGTACACTAGTGTTTCCTGCAGCACGATTTGGAATGCCAGCCTCCAGGTGGGACCTGGGGATCCCCTGGAATTAAGGCTCCAGACTACAAAGATCAGATCTCCTGGAGGGGTGGTGGTGGTGGACTCTATGGCACTGTACCCCACTGAGGTCCCTGTCCTTGCCAGGCTCCATCCCCAGACCTCCAGGAGTTTCCAATCCTGGATCTGGCAACTCTACCCTCCTTCCCCTGCCAGTGGCCAGGGGGTACCTGGCAACCTTAAGCAGTATTGATAATGTACACGTGTGTACACCAGAGTTTCTCAAACCTTTTAAGTTGGGGTCCCCCTCAGCCCAACACCAAACATCTGTTCTGCAAGGAAAACTGCAGAACAGATTGTCTTCTGTGGTTCTGGTGCAGTCTCCTGCTTCATACGAGGCTCTGTGGCAGGAGGCATCCATCCAGCACAGGCATTAAAGGATGATAAGAAGAGGGCATCGATGGTCTCCATCAAACCATCAGGGAGCTATCATAAAATATGAAGCTGCAGTTCTTCCTCAGCTTCCCAAACATGGCTGAGACGGGGGGGGGCACATATGTTGCAGTCTTTCTCACAAAGTCAGTCTGCAACAGCAACCACCAATGTTCCCGCTAAGCTGTGGAGTCTTGTGAGCAAAAATTCTACTTTCTGAGCTCCTGGCATTAAAGTTCTGAGCGAGTGACTGGGCAACTACCCTTTGCCAGGAGGTGTTCAACTCATCAAGATCTTCTTGGCTGGTGGCAGAAGGAAAACTCATCACCCCATCCCTCCTTGAAACTTTGTGTACCCCCCCCCAACTATCCATTTTACATGTCCTGTGCCCACTTTGGAAGGGCCCATTTTGAGAAACATGGATACACATGCACCTTGAAATGCTATGTCTGTAAATCTTGAGTGGGCCAGATCTTTGGGGTTGGAAGCACTGATATCCATTAGGGAATCATGTTTGCAGTGCACAGCTGTCCTTATTCTGGGTGGGAAACAAGCAGTGTTGCTGGACATTTGAGGGAAGCTTCATGCATTATGCAGTTATTCGATAAGAGTCACTTTGGTGCAGAAAAATGCATGAAACCCACATGCAGGATCTACGCAGAAGCTGTATGCCACCTCTTACACGAAGGAGTCACTTGCAGGTAGGAATTACTAAAACAGTCCCCAGCCAATGTTACCTCTAAGCTGTGGAGTTTTGTGAGCCAAAATTCTACTTTGTGAGCTCCTGGCATTAAAGTAGTGAGCGAGTGATTTGGCTACTGCATAAATTAGTCTGCTCTGGAGCCATCCTTCCTGAGCTAAGACAGAAATGTGTGAGCCGGAGGCTAAAAAACTGTGAGCTAGCTCACACTGACTCATCTTAGAGGGAACACTGGTCCCCACCCAACATAAGAGTCTCCTTAACTTATGGGGATGCTAATGGGAATCACGGAAGATATGAGACAACACAAGCAACAAAATGCATTTGGCACAATGTGTTTTGAAAACTGCCCCGAGCCTGCCTGGCGGGGAGGGTGGGGTATAAATCGAACAAAAGACAGACAGACAGACAGACAGAGCAGGTGAATCACTAGGGTCAAAGGGGGTAAAGCCAGAACAAGTCATTGATCTGTAGCCAAACTTCTGCTATTACTCCAAAAACGGAAGATATGAGACAACACAAGCAACAAAATGCATTTGGCACAATGTGTTTTGAAAACTGCCCCGAGCCTGCCTGGTGGGGAGGGTGGGGTATAAATCGAACAAAAGACAGACAGACAGACAGACAGACAGACAGATAGAACAGGTGAATCACTAGGGTCAAAGGGGGTAAAGCCAGAACAAGTCATTGATCTGTAGCCAAACTTCTGCTATTGCTCCAAAAACATGTTTGGGAATTCAATTTCCTCCCCACTCTCATATTCCCCCAACCACCCCAGAAGCGCTCAGAACTTCTGCCTGGTTGCAACTCCCAAACATGTCCTGGCCCTTATTTCCAGGTTCCTCTGGGTGCTCACCCACATTTTCTTCTGCTGCCACTTCTGGGTCTTATGTGAAGGGAAGATATGAAATCCAGAAGCAGTGATGGAAGACGCACCAGTTACTCCAGTGTGATCATCCAAAGCCACTGCTAATTATCCCTGCTGAGTATAGACCTTTGCCATTGTATATGTGCTCTCTATATACTGAATGTACAGAAAAGAAAGATGGGCACCATGGAGTAAGCATAACCCACTTTTATATACAGCATGCACTACACATCAGATGGAAGCAGGACAGCTGTGACCATGTTTGCTTTGGGACATCAGACATGCTGATGTAGTGTGACCGTACGCACACTATGCTTACACTGCCAGTAAATCAAAACCAGAGATGCACACGTGAATACATGAAGCGTCCCTATAACTGAACCAAACCCCTTGGTCAATCAAAGTCAGTATTGCTACTCAGACCAGCAGCAGTTCTCTAGGATTTCACACAGAGGTCTTTAATGTCACCTACTACCTGATCCTTTTAACTGGAGATGCCAGGGATTGTACCTGGGACTTTCTGCATGCCAAGCAGATACTGTTAGCACTGAGCCATGGCCCCCTCCCCATGAGACCCAAAGACCCCATAAGACCGAAAGACCTCCATTGCAATCCAGTACATGTAAAAAGACAGCAGGTGCTTTCTATAAATATAGGTTACCTTGCAGTCCAGGTAAGCCAGGTGGCCCAGGTTCACCTTCCATCCCTTCGTTGCCTTGATCCCCTTTTGGTCCTGGAGGTCCTACAATATAAAATGTAAAGGGGTGTTCAGTGGCTTCATTTCACACCCATCTAAACTTAATGGTTGGGGGACATACACTCATTTATTATATAGGGATGCTTCCCCCCAAAAGACTCATCTGCATTTTCTCCCTAGGTTTTAGATTTCTGAATTACCTGGTCTTGTTTCCCAAATGGAACCAATTCATTAGGAGTCAACTGCTGTTCTGTTTATTTCCAAGTGTACAGAGAACCACTCATGTACCACGCATGTACATCATGCTGCAACTGTTATTCCTTCAGTTCAATTCTCATTCAGTTCAATTCTCAATTGGAATACTATGTATAGTTCTGATCACCACACCTCAAAAAGGATATTATAGCACTGGAAAACATGCAAAAAAGGGCAACCAGAATAATAAAAGGGTTGGAACACTTTCCCTATGAAGAAAGGTTAAAGGGCTTGAGGCTCTTTAGCTTGGAGAAACGATGACTGAGGGGTGACATGATCGAGGTTTACAAGATTATGCATGGGATAGAGCAGGTAGAGAAAGATGTACTTTTCTCCCTTTTTCTCAACAGAAGAATTCATGGGCACTCAATGAAATTGTTGAGCAGTTGGGTTACAATGGCTAAAAGGAAGTAGTAGAAGAAGAAGAGATTGGATTTATACCCCGCCCTTCACTACCCAAAAGTGTCTCAGAGCGGCTTACAAACTCCTTTCCCTTCCCCTCCCCACAACAGACACCCTGTGAGGTAGGTGGGGCTGAGAGAACTCTGACAGAAACTGCTCTTTTTTTTTCAAGAACAGCTGTGCCAGAATTATGGCTTGCCCAAGGTCATCCAGCCAGGTGCAAGTGGAGGTAAGATCACATCACATCAGGTGGCTGGCAGGGGAAGCCCCACCCCTGAACAGCGGTGTCCCATAGGAACGCCATCAATGCAGTGATGTCACCAGTAGTGGCATCATCACGCTGGGGCTGTCACATGGTGACGTTCTAGCATTCAGGGGAAAACTCTATGGTTACCATAGAGTTTTTACCCCGAACACTAGAGCGTCGCACCACGACAGCCTCAGCATGATGACATCATTCCCAATGATGTCATTGCTTCAGCAGCGTCCCCACCCTAGTTGCCAGCTTTGGTTTGGGAAATACCTAGAGATTTGGGGGGTGGGGCCTGGGGAGGGTGGGTTTATGTAGGGGAGGGACCTCATCAGGGTATAACACCATAGAGTCCACCTTTCAAAGCAGCCATTTTCGCCAGAGGAACTGATCTCTGTAGTTTGGAGATCGACTGTAATCCTGGGAGGTCTCTTGGCCACATCTGGAGGCTGGCAACCCGAACTACCATTGAGGTAGGTTAGGCTGAGAAAATTATTTTTTGAAGCCCACTAGTGAATTTTTATGGGGATATTAGCCTGGGGCTCTTACAGTTCAGCTGCTTCCACTGTGTCATAATAGCATGAAATCTCAGTATAGAATAAAGGATAAGAAATCACACATCTTACACGCAGCCTTTTCTTTTCGGCTACCCTATTTTATCCACTTTTGCTGAAGTCCTAAATAACTGCAGGTGTTTAATGGGGAAGGGGTTGGTCCAGCTGGCTCAGAGAAGGGTGACAAAAAATTGGCACAAGGCAAGTTGCAGCACCAGCAGCAAGGCCAGTAAGAACACGCACATGCCTCCGGGCTTAATGAGAGTCAGATGCCCTGCTCCCTGCAGGCCTGTATTGTTGAGGCCAGGCAGAATTTTATGGGGCTGTCCCTCCAGGAGGGACCAGAGGCTCAGCCAGGTTGGAGCCAGCTCAGGAAAGCAGCCCACAGTTACACAGGACAGTTCTGGATCCCAGTCTCCAAAACAATTTGCTTATGTCGGGATCTGGTGAACCAAAGGTATTGGGGGTGACTGGCAACCTTTCAGCTGGGGTGTGTCTGAAATGATTTAAAAATAAAATAGGCAGTCATGTTCATCCATTTAAAAATCCAAACCACAGCAGTATCATCTGAGGGTTGCAAAAGATAGACTCGACTTTTGAGTTTCACTGAAATCTTCATTTTTTAAACAAAAAAAAAAAAGGAAGGGAGAAAAAAGGATAAATCTGTTGCTCGTGAGGGGCACAGTGGAAGCACATCAGCAACAAGCCAGGTGGTGACTCCGGAATATCTTTGGAGGCCATTTAAATAAGTGTGGGGCCAGTGCAAAAGGTCTCCGTTGCAGAAAAGCATCCTTAAGTAAATAAGCAGTTCTTGCTTTCCCCTTTCAGTAGGTAACAGTCAGTCACTATTCAGATCATTAATTTTTTTGTGTGATGTTCAAAAGAAAAACAGGCAAGATCTGGGGACCGTCAGCACATTTTCTGATTCATGTTGCAAAAAACATTGTGATGAGGAGGAAATCAGGTCTGAGCACATGATGCATGAACTCCAGAAAAGACCTAGGTTAAATTTTCCACCTTAATAATTTTGGCCACTCCCCTGCATAGGTTTTCAAAACACAAGAAGCTAAAATATCACACTAGAAGCAGCTTCCACGAAATCATGGAGAAAAATGTAGCTTTAAAACCCGAAATATACTTGCTAAACATGATTCCGAAAGGTTATAACAAGCAAGAATCATATATATTAGGATACATTATAACAGCTGCCAGACTGCTATTAGCCAAAAATTGGAAATCTGAAGTTATACCCAAGAGGGAAGAATTAATAGATAAAATACTGGAGTTAGCGAGAATGGATGACTTAAGTTTAATGTTACAGAACAGGAATGAAAAGGTACATGAAAAGAGATGGGAAAAGGTGTATAAGTGGACAGAAGTCAAGAAGTTAGGGTCCCAAAAAGGTACATAAGAACTAAGCGATGAATGACTCTGATATTTATGTAAGATGTGTAGATGAAATGTATAAATGTTTAAATGGAAACAAAATAAAATTTTTTTACCAAAAAAATAAATAAATAGAAACAGCTTCCCAAGTTGCCAGCAAAAGATTGTGAGCCAACCATCTGGCTTTCCAGATTATGTGAATTCATCATGAGAAGAAAATACGCATATTAGGGTTGCCAGGTCTGGGTTGGAAAATACCTTGAGACTTTGGGGGTGGATCCAGGAGAGGGCGGGGTTTGGGGAGGGAGGGACCTTAGCATGGTACAGCGCCATAGAGTCCACCCTTCAAAGCAGCCATTTTCACCAGGGGAGCTGATCTCTGTCAGCTGGGAATCAGTTGTAAAAGCGGGAGATTCCCAGGCCCCACCTGGAGGCTGGCAACCCTAACGCATATTATCCTGGATGGCCAACCTCTAGGTGTGGCCTGGAGCTCTCCTAGAACTACAGCCAATCTCTAGACAACAGAGATCAGTTCTCCTGGAGGAAATGGCTTCTTTGGAGTGTTGACTCTATGGCACTATACCCTACTGAGGTCTTTCCTTCCCCAAATTCTGCCCAGGATCCATCCCCCCAAATCCCCAGGAATTCCCCAACTTGGAGCTGGCAACACTAATATTAATACATATTACCACTAAATAATCATCAGGGTTGGTTTACCACCAAAGCTACTACCTGAGGAGTGCCCTGATGTTCCCCTGCAAGGCAAGGCTCATTTCTGGGAGCAGGCAGCATGGGAGGTGATGGACGTGGCCTCCCAGGCCAGCATTACTGGAGGGTGGGAGCACCAGAGCCCCACCCCATCACATGGTGCTTAGTTTGCCCTTTGCCTCCAACGATGGGTATATCTTGCTTGGGGTGACAAACTATATTGAACTTGCCCAGAAACAGATCATTCTATCCAATTGCAAAGCCCATCGCACCTAAGCTATTAAGCACCAGCTTTTCTTAGCAAACCTCACAAGGTTGAACAAACACGATACAAAAACCACCCTTAAAAAAAAAATCTTTCTCCTGCCACTAGATGGGGCAAAATCCAGATGAAACGGCAGAGAGAGAAGCTCTCGGAAAAAAGAGCGACTTTTCACGCCTTGCTTTTTGATTAACGCTAAGCTGAAAATTTTCATACTCCCTCCCCCCCGTTAAGTGAGCCCCTCTTTCAGGGTGATGGTGGTGGGAGGGGGAAGAAGAATGCACCCTATTTGAATTAGGCCAACATTCCCCCCCCCCCAATGAACAGCCCACTGAACGTAATGCAGTGTAGATTGAAGGCATGTATGTCCAAACGTATACTTGAGCGTGGATGATGTGTTCCTCCACACTGCATTACTTTCAATAGCATGGATGCTTTGATATACATCCCTGTTAGGGTTGCCAGGGAGGCAGCTCTCTGGGAGTGGGGGGAGTGGGGTGATGTCCCCAACGTGATGACGTCGCACAGAAGTGACATCATCATGTCAGGGACATCACTGAGTGCCGTTCTAGTATTTTGGGCAAAGCTCTATGGTTACCATAGAGTTTTGCCCAAAATACCAGAGCATTGCTGCGTAATGTCCCCAGCATGATGATGTCACTTCCGTGCAATGTCATCACGTTGGGGACATCATGCCGGGTGTTGGCTGTTGGGGGGGCTTCCCCCACTGGCCAGCTAGCCAATGGCGGGCAGGGGCCCATGAAATCAGGGGATCCCTCGCTCCCACCTGGGGACTGGCAACCCCAGTCCCAGTGAGAGGGAACACAGATCCACTTTCCTCTGCAACAGAGATAAGTTCCTTCTTCCCTCTCTTTAACCAACAATATACAAGGGAAATAATCTACCGGTATTACATTTTCCCTGTCTTTCCTCCAAGGAGCTCAAGGTGACATACGATTCCCTATTTTATCTTCACAACAACCCTATGAGGTAGGTTAGGCTGAAAGAGTAATCAGCCCAGACTCAGGTGCTGAGTTTTACAGCCAACCAGAAATGTGTACACAGGTTTCCCCAGGGTCAGGAATAGTCCTAGATTGACACTTGAACCAACACACCACAGTGGCCATGAAAAGATGTGAGAAAACATGAATGGGGGTTGTATTGTTTTTCACTTGCATGCTCAGTCAAATTAAACAGCCACATCAGGCTGCACTTCTTTGGGCTCTGTACAGGAGCAGGCTGGGAAATGAAAATGGAGCAAGCAAAGCCGAGTGGCCCCTGTGGTGCTAGAAGGCAGCACTTCCGAGGTCATACAGCTCAGCAGTGCAAACAGGGGGTGTCAGCTCATCCATTGCTCCCTCCTGAAAACTGGCAGCAGTGTGAGCAAAGACAGCTGTTGAGCTGACACCCGTGATCATTGCTAAATAAAGGACTGTGGCAAGCGGCCCCTGAGGCTCTAGCAGAGCTGCTAGAGCTTGGTTATGCCTGTCCCGGCTGCCAGTGGTTCTCCAGTGCCCCACCAGTCCGCACCAGCTCTGAGATCCAGCTTGGTGTAGTGGATAAGGGCAGCAGACTCTAATCCAGAGAACCTGAACCAGGTTTGATTCCCCACTCCTCTTCTACATGAAGCCAACTGGGTGACCTTGGGCCAGCCACAGTTCTCTCAAAGCTGTTCTCTCAAAGCTCTCTCTGCCCCACCTACCTCACAGGGTGCCTGTTGTGGGGAGATGAAGGGAAGGCAATTGTAAGCCACTCTGAGACTCCTTTGGGTAGTGAAGTGTGGGGTATAAAACAAACTATCCTCCTCCTCCTCCTCTACCTAGAAGATGCACAGATGGCAGGAGCAGGCCTGGCTTTTTTCCTGTTCTCTCTGGTGAGCAGTTGTGGCTGCTGGTTTTACACACTGACTCCAGCTACCAAAGCTCCAACAACACCCTGAAGTTAAGGCAACCCCAAAAGTAGAAATCCCGAGAGTTGTTACACAGGAAGCACATAGTTAAGAACTAAGAAGAGCCCTGCTGGATCAGACCAGTGGTCCATCTAGTCCAGCGTCCTGTCTCAAACAGTGGCCAACCAGTTCCACTTAGGGTTGTCAACCTCCAGGTGTTGACTGGGAATCTGTTGGAATTATAGCTGATCTCCAGTTTACAGAGATCAATTCCTTTGGAGGTAGGGTTGCCAGACATGGCCTGGTAACCAGCAGGAGGCATGGGACCGTGGGGATGGGGGTAGCCATCAACAACACCATGAACTCATTTCTGGAGAAAAACCAGAAGTGATGTCATGCCTCTCTAGGAATTGCCAGGACCACTATAGCCATTTAAAAAAAATATTCTGCCACTGCTAGGAGGGTGTTGAGAAATGGATTAATTTATGGTTTTATATCTGCTTACACATGCAACACATGGACTCTGCACACACCTGTATACCATAGGCCTAGAGGAAGCTGCTTGCATCACCTACTGTGAGAGATTTCACATTGGGAACACTTGCCTGCATTTCATGTTAATCTAGTTTGCACACATTCGGCTCAAAGCCTTATGGGAAGAAGAAGCACATGTTAGCCATTGTGGGCAGAGGCAACAACCAAGAAGAAGAAATTCCCCCATTGCTGAGGAGACTAGATGTCACGCAGAACATGGACCTGAGCTGCATCTGAATTGCCGTTTCCTGTTGACGGTGCCTTGTCTGCCTGGTAAAGACAGGATCCATCTACACATCAAGGAGGGCACAGGAAGCCGAGACTTCACACCTGGCCAGATGGTGTTCCATGAGATAGAGTGTAGAGTTTCAAATATTGCCCAACCCATAGAATACCTGCCCCTTTCTACATGCACCAATGAGGGAGGTCATGGGATGGACTTGTAAGTAGGTGGGATTACAGTTTGGCAAGGTGCCACCCACCTGGAGATTCAACTATAAAAAGTAAAGACCAAACTTTAGGTCTTTGCTAGCCACATCCCTTCTCAACGTCCTCTGTCCTCTTTTCTACCCCTAAGGTCCAGCTTTCTATCAAACAATCCGTTTGTCTACTTTAAGATTTCTTGGACTGCAGCCAAAGAGGTCCATACTTTGCTGGCTGGTTCTAGCAAGTGTGATTTAGTTAGCATCCCTAGGTATTACTTTCTTCCCCTATCCTACATTGCATCAGACAAGACTTCAGGAAAAGGCAAGTATAAACCGATACCTACCTACCTACCTCCAAGTAAATGAGAAACGATCTTGATATCTTTCAGTAACTCTAAAGGAACCTTGATTATATGCGAATGTGAGACTGATTTTGTGTGTATGTGATTTCGATATTGCTCAGTAAAAAGACAATTTGTTTTGGAAAAACACCAGTCTCGTCTCCATCACTGGTACTCTCTGGGGCTGGCAGAACCTCCGTAAACTTTGGCAAGGACTCACGTTAAATTTAGTTAACCATCTGCTGTAAATAAAGCGATTGGCGTAACAAGGGGCTGGCAACCCTGGAGGGCTGCTTTGCAGGGTGGCCTCGATGGAGTTATAGCCTTGCAGAGCACGTAGGGGTGTGATGTTGGCTACACCTCTCTATCATTTCCAAGGAAACCAGGAAGTGGTATAGGGTAGCTCTAGGAATTACCGGAAATGCTATGATAAAACCGTCCTCACATTTTACAATACACTTTAAGGCCTTCTCTTTATCAGACTGGTGGTTGATGTTTTTTAAGCCAGAGTTTAAAATCCCCCATTTGAACTGAATAAGCAAATACCTTAAACCAATAAGCCGCCTCATGGACATTTGGTGGACCCTACCTTGTATGACGGAGATGTCCCTCAAGGCGATGGAGTGCTCCCAGTCCTTGAGCCTCAGGTCCTCAGTCACATTGTTCAGGATAGCCAGCTCATGCTTGAGCTGCTGCTCCATGGCAATGTGGATGAGACGCATCTGCCGGGCATCCTCTGTGGCGTTGCTGATCAGGACCTGTAGGTCCTGGATGCGGGTGTGGTGGATGCCCACGTCGTAGGACAGAGTCCTGTTCATGGTGCCCACTTCCCCGCCCACCTCGGTCAGCTGGTCACTCATGGTCTCCACGTGGGATGCCAGCTCATTGAGCAAGACTTCGTGGTGCTTCAGCCTCAGCAGGCTGCTGTTTCCCTCCACTGAGAGCCTGTAGATCTCCATCTGCGCCAGGTCGCTCTGCTGGTTCAGACTGTCCCTCAGTCCAGCGACGACTCTGTCTGTCTGAGCGGCTTGTGCCTGCAGGCTCCCAAGCGCCCCTTCCAGTTTCTGAAGGGAGCCTGTCATTGCCAGAAGGGAATCGGAGTGGTTGTGCAGGAGGTCCTGAAGACGCCAGATGTGGTCCAGGAAGTCTACTTTGACCGGCTGATGGATTGTTTTCAGCTGGAGGTCCCGCAAGCTTTCGTTTAATCGGTTCACGTTCCCTGTTAGCACCTTCAGGTCTTCAGGAGAGCTCTGAGGTCTAGACACTGGAAGAGAAAGGAAGGGGACATCACAAGCACAACATATACAGAAGGTAGACTGGGGGGAGGGGAGTATGGATAAGGTCCAGCATCCTTTGGAGAGCCCCATCTCTCCTCCGTCCCATTATGATTTCAAGACACACCAAGGATGCCTTTTTAAATGCAGAACTTCATGCCATAGACATGGCAGAAAGGCAACGGCTGTCCCCCCCTCCTCACAGAACACCTTCCCACTGAAGTCTTGCCAGACCCAGTGAATACTTTTTGGAAATGTAGTTCTGGGGGGGGGGGAGTGAGAGAGCATCTTATCAGCAGCCTCTCCTCGCTGTAAAATAACCCTCCCAAGAGAGGGTCATTTGGCATTATGGTTGTCACCAGGCCTGTAGAAAAATGCCTGTTTAAGAAAGACTTAATGTGTAGAAATGGGCCATTAAAGCTTTTCATGGCACAGAGGTAAATAGCATCACCTGGTTAATAACACCCCCATTAACCCTCTGTTAAAAGGACAGGACACTGCTCACCAGGCTCGTCAGCAACCCACCTGAGTACCCACTCATCATTCATCTGGTGCCATATTAAAGTTGTTTCATCTGGGGGGGGGGAATTGGTGAGTATTTTGTGTGTGTATGCCTTGAAGTCATGGTTGACTTCTGGCAACCCCTAGTGGGGCTTGGACGTTTTCACAGAGGTGGCTTGGTATTGCCTGCCTCTGTGTCCCGGTCCTGGTATTCCTTGGAGGTCTCCCTTCCAAGTACTTGCCAGGGTCGGCCTGCTTAGCTTCTGAGATCTGACGAGATCAAGCTTGCCTGGGCTATCCAGGGCATCTGAAAAAGTTTTTAATACCTTGAGGAACATACATATTTTAAATGTCTATGTCACCTTTCCTATGTTCAAAGCAGCTTAACAATAAAAAAGTAGAACAATAAAACTGCAACATCAGTCAAGAAAACAGTGAATCATAATTTAAAATTAAAATGTAACCTATAAAAACCTATGTACTTAACAGAGCAACAAAATTATGGGCATAATTATTAACCAAATCAAGGACTCTTATTTTATGAAATTAAAGTATCACTATTTTAAAGAAGTAAGACGTAAGAATATTACTCAGAGTTAGAGGTTCACTTTGTTTCTGTTGCTCTGGTTCTGTGGGTGTGAGAGTAAGGCCCCGGTCACACGAAAGGTTTTGGGCCGGAAGAGGGACGGATCGGGGGCGGAGCAAACGGGCGCGATCCCACCGCAACATCTGGGAAACGTTGCGCACCCGTCCCCAATCCGGCCCTTCAGGCCGAAAAGCCGCATGTAAAATAAACCACCTACAGAGGTGGACTTACCAGCACGGCCGCATCAAGCGCAGCCGTGGGATTGCTGGCGCGTCCTTCTGCCAGCGCATCCAAGACCCCTGGCTGAATTGCGCATGCTCACACATGCGCAGTTCGGCAGCCTCCGTCTCCATCTCGTCGCTTTCTCCCTGGTCTCCCCGGCATCTGATCGTGCCGGGGAGCAACTGCGCGGCGGCTCACGGGATCTCTATGATCCCGCCGCCGTCTGTCGATTTTGGTGCGGCTTTCAAAAGCCGCACTTTGCCCACGCTTCCCCCCCCCTCCGTGTGACAGGGACCTAAGACTACAATCCTACAGACACTTTCTGGGGAGTAAGATCCACTGAATAACACGGAACCTACTTCTGAGAACTACTTAGGATCACTTCCTGACCCAAGAGCAGATTGCTTGGGGGGGGGGGGGTTAGCTGCCTATCTGTTCAAAATGTTCATGTTCTTAAAACAAGACTCAACCCATCCTGTTGCACGTCGTCCCAGCCCCCTTCCTAATTGTTTAATGATCAGTTTTGCTTTCCAGGTTGGCAATTTGGGGCTGGGGCTCTGCTCTCCTGGCCATAATTCACTCCAGATGACGTTTATAGGCAATCTGGAACTCGATCTTGGCAGGATCAGTTGTGTGCCCACCGGGGGAGTTCCCAATTACTAAGAAAACAAAAAGAACAGGATTAAACAGCAAGTGAATTTTAACAGACGATGTCTTGCTAAGCTCTTCTCATTCTTAAGATCTGCGTCTCCAAAAGTTCACTCCCTGGGTGCGTTCAGACGCAGCCTTTACAACGGATTCTGTGCCGGTTGAAATCGATGTACCTACCGGCGTTCAGACGGGGAACATCTGTCTTCCCACTCTATCCGTTATAAAGAGCTGTACACCGTTGCACTCTGCCACTAGGTCCCTAGTGGTGGTAAACTCAGTGCAACGGTGGCTTCCGATGCAAACCGGCGTCTGATCGCTCTCCACCGGTACCTAACCACTTCCGTCGGAAGCCTGAGGCTTCCGGCTTTCCCCCGCCATTTAAAAAAAGACTCCTAGCGGTATGCGCTTGGGCGAAGCTTCGCCCTAAGCGTTTGTTTTTTGTTTTTTGTTTTTAAAGCCCTTACTGCAGCATTTCGGAGGCGTTGGGGACCTCCGGGAGGCTACTGTGCTCTTTAAACTTTAAAGGTAAGTCGTTACCTTTAAAGTTTAAATCTACTGGGGGGGGGGGTTGAGCATGCGCACAAATTGCCATTCTCTGAATGGCTGCCTATGCGCATGCTCAAACTGCTTAAAAAAAAAACAACAACAAACGCCAACGCCCGCAGCGTGTGAGCGGGCGTCCAACGGAGGGATACGGAAGAAGGAGGGTGAGTCTGATCGCGTTTCTGCCGGCATAAACTGCACCGGTTCCAATCGGTGCAGTTTCTGCCGGCAGAAAGCTCCCGTCTGAACGCACCCCATGTGTGTCACAGCAAGCACAGTATTAACATCTGTGAAATGGGTCCCCAAAGAGGCAGGCAAATGCTTGGACCTATTATTGCTGAGGGCCCAAAGTTAGGTCTAAGGGTGGAATGTTATATTAGTGTTGTCTGATGTGCTGGCAACCTATTTGCACAGCTTGACATGTGTGACAGTTTCTAGCAAGCCAGAGGCCCAAGTAGGTTGCCCACAGGTCTGAAAAGTAATGCCCTGTCCCTTTCATAAAAGGTTCAGTGTATGGGAGTGGACAGATGAAGCTTTCCATGGCAAGGGGCTACACAGCATTGCCTGGTAATAGCATCCCATTAAGTACCTATTAAAGGGATAATGGGGCATTTCCCCACAGGCAATTGCAGCAACAGCTGTAATGCTAATTCTAGCCTCTGGGGGACGATCCCCCCCCCCTGCAAATGCTGCAAGAGATCAAAATTTTCTTCCTGACAGATCCAAGCCAGCAGAAAGGCCTGGAGGGATCAGATGAACCACAGCTGTCTGTAGCATGCTGGCTGCCATGCTCTGGCACAGGTCCCTTTTGATCCCACGTGCCTTGAGAGCCAGTTTGGTGTAGTGATTAACAGCACGGACTCTAACCTGAGAGAACCAGGTTTGATTCCCCACTCCTCCACATGCAGCTGCTGGTGTGACCTTGGGTTCTTTCAGAGCTGTTATTTCAAGGGCAGTTCTCAAGAAAGCTCTCTCAGCCCCACCCACCTCACAGGGTGTCTGTTGTGGTGAGGGGAAGGGAAAGGGATTGTAAGCCGCTCTGAGACCTCTTCAGGTAGTGAAGAGTGGGGTATAAATCCAATCTCCTCCTCCTCCTCCTCCTCTTCTTCATCTCTCTGGAAAGTGCCCCCTGTTAGTCAGAGTCAGTCACTTTTATTCACTTGGCTTTCCAGCTTAAACCCAAGATGGCTGGGATGGAGGAGATCCATACAAATTTATTTATACCCCGCCTTTCTCACCCGTGGGGACTGAACACAGCTTACACCATTCTCCTTTCCTCTATTTTGTCCTCATGGCATCCTTGTGAGGTAGGTTTGGTGTGGGAGCTATTATTTTTAACAAAAATAGCACAGAGGCAAGGAAGGAGGAGGAGGAAGTTGGATTGATATCCTACCCTTCACTCGAAGTCTCAGAGCGGCGTACAAACTCCTTTCCCTTCCCCTCCCCACAACAGACACCCTGTGAGGTAGGTGGGGCTGAGAGAGCTCTTTCCAGACCTGTCCTTGAGAGAACAGTTCTGCCAAAACTATGGCTTGCCCAAGGTCATCCAGCAGCTGCAAGTGGAGGAGTGGGGAATCAAACCTGGTTATCCCAGATTAGAGTCCGTGCACTTAAGCACTATACCAAACTGGAAAACAAAACCATGCCTCCTCATCCAACTGATCGTTCTCCTCAGTTTCTTTCAGCAGCATGGTGTAGTGGTTAAGAGCAGCGGACTCTAATCTGGAGAACCAGGTCTGATTCCCTCACTCCTCCATGTGAAGCTGGCTGGGGGGCCTTGGGCCAGTCACAGTTCCCTCAGAACTCTCTCAGCTCCACCTGCCTCACAAGGTGACTGTCATGGGAAGAGGAAGGGAGGCGATTGTAAGCTGCTTTGAGACTCCTTAGAATAGAGAAACAGTGGGATTCTATAGTCTGGATGCTTGAGGAGTACGTTTACACTTAGGCCTGTCACTTAGAAAAGAAATAAAAGTTCTATATTGTACTGGATAGGAAAGAAGAATAAGAAGAGATTGGGTTTATACCCCGCCCTTAACTACCCAAAGGTGTCTCAGAGCGGCTTACAAACCCCTTTCCCTTCCCCTCCCCACAACAGACACCCTGTGAGGTAGGCGGGGCTCAGAGAGCTCTTGACAGAAACTGCTCTTTTTCAAGAACAGCTCTTATCAGAGCACTTAACCACAACACCAAACTGGCGTCTAGCTAGCTATCTAAGGCAGAGTAAAGGCTTCTAGCTAGCTATCTAAGCTGGGATGGAGAGGGGTTGTAGAAAGCATGTCTAGCCCTCATGAGAGGGAGAGAAAGCGAAGAAGTATCCAGAAGGAAGAAACCTCTGAGAGGAGCATTCTGGGAAATGAAGCGGCAGGAGTGGAGAAATGAAAGGTCAGAGGGCACCCTATCCACCCCTACACTAATTCTCTACTGCCCTTCCCTGAAGGTCCAAAGTCTGTGCTGGCATCAAGTGACATGGCACAGTCCATTCCTTCC